TTATTATAGTTTTAAGAAATTATGAAAGTAATTACAGATGTATTATTTAAAAGTTGTTCAAATTGTTGTTAAAACAAGTAAAATATAAAACTTACATATTTGCTTTTTTTTTATAGATTTTACAGAGCGACATATTCAAGGCCAAAATAGGATACTTACTTTATGGCGAACCAGCTACGTGGCAGGCGATCATTCGACAAACAAAAAGTTATGACGTTGATATGACGCTCATTACTGCTGGGTTACGTAACAGTTTAGAGGTGATGTAATAAAAAAACGAAAATATTTTCAAATTAACGATCTTTTACTAACACTCTAGACAAAATTAAGTTTAAAACGCCATAGGTTAAAACAATTTCATTAAAGCTATGTTTTTTTTAACCGCTTGGTTTTAATTAGATTATTTTAAGCTTTTGTGTTTTCTGGTGAGTCCGAAAAAGGCTGTTAATGTTATTTATCCAGACTTTTTTAATTTGTTTTTGTTTGTTTGTTTGAAGTTAAGCAAAAAGCTACACAATGGCAATGTGTGCTCTGCCCACCACTGGTATCGAAACCCTGTTTCTAGTGTTGTAATCCTTCAGACTTACGCTGAGCCACTGGGGGCAAAAACAAAAACGTTAGCAATGAAATTAAATTTAAAAAAAAGGGCAAATTCTCTGAATCTAACTTTCCTTAGAGTTATATTAGAAACCATAAGAGAGTATGCCAGTGGCTCAGCGGTAAGGCTGAAAGCTTATGACGCTAAAAATCGGGTTTCGATACCCGTGATGGGCACAGTACAAATAGCCCATTATATAGCTTTACGCTTAATAACCACAAATAAACAAATTAATTTAGCAACTGGAGATAAAAAGTCGAAGAGGTTAAGCTATAAAATAGACGATCATTTGAGTTGGTTATTAAAGGGTTTATTTACAAATGATAATTTTGCTTATGTGTTTTTTACTTAATTTCAATCATATCTAGGTCCCATTGCATTAAAGAAGGCCAAAAAGTCAAATTGTAAAACTTACCGTGAGAATCTACCCTCCAAACCCATAATATTCATATGTTTTTGGTACGTGCACTTCTGATATGGTTGATTCACTGCAGATTTTATTCATTCATACACAATTTACCCCAACTACCTATGTAAACTCTAAGCTCTGTGTTAGTTCCTTGAATACCAATTCATCCATGTCATTAGGCAACGTTCGTTAATAAAAAAAAACGAAACAATAGCTTCTGTCACAACGTGTAGCCAGTATGATAATAACCCATTGAGACCCAGCTTAACTATTACCTTGGAAGTCCGCTACGTGTGAAAACAGTGATCCCTTGACCAAGTTTAGAATAGGAAATGAGTATAGGAGTAGTTATAAGGATAAAGTTAATTATTACTGTTGTAATGCTATGTATAAGAAATAAAATAGATTACTTTAGAGCACTGGTAGAAATGGAGGATTCTGATATATGGGAATAAATTAAAAATGGTTAAACTTAAATGATTTTGATCACAGAAATTTCTTTGAAATACAGGGTTGTAGGATATTTAATAGGGATAGAGTACTAAGATTTCAGCTGTTAATGAAGTCGTAAATATGTGTGATTTTAATTTCAGGCATATAGATTGAAAAATGCTAGAGTCAAACCGTTAGGGAGAAAGGTTTTGGAAACTGTTCAGGATGGCTTTCTTCACCAATAAGTCAAAGGAACTTACTAGAAACAATGCTATTTTAAATTTATTGTTAAATGCAAATATAGAAATGATCAAGAGGGTGGAAATTGTAGAACATCTGGGTGCAAGTGATCATTTCTCGTTTAGTTTCAATGTTTTGCTACATATGGAGATAAGGAATAATGATATTTTGGTTACAAATTTCACCAAAACAAATTTTGAAGGGATGGGACAAGAATTATCTGTTGTGAATTGGACAGCTGAGTTATTTAAAGACTCTGATCAGATGTGGAAAGTTTTAAAAACATAAGTTTTAAAATATTCAAGGTAAAGATATTCCTTATAGAAAGAAAACGGTTAGCTACAAGTAAAAAAAAACAGGTTGGCTCACAAAGAGTATAAAAATGAAATTAAAGAAAAGCATGAGAAATTTAAATTGACTGGTATGACAGGAGATTTAGAAGATCAAGAAAGTTGGTGAAAATAAATTAGGACATCAAAAAGAATGTATAAGAAAAGGTTGGCTGAAAATATAAAAATTAGCAGTAAATATTTCTTTATATACATTAAGGACAAAAAAATGTTAGGATGAAGGTAGGACCCTTGAGCGATGATAAAGGAAGGCTTGTATCTGATGATTATGAGATAAATGGGTTGTTAAATTTTACTTTTTCTTCTGTTTTACTAACGAAGATTTAAGCATCTTGAACAGTTGATAGATAGAAACAAGATCGAACAAGATGACTGCATTAATTCTAAGCTGGTTAAGAAAAAATTGGGAAGTTTAAGGATCCTGGGTCAGATAATATTTCTCTAAGGGTTTTGAAAGAGGTTACAGATTGGATATATGAGCCACTTGCTACTATTTTTTGTCAGTCCTTGAATGGTGGGCAGGTACCAGAGGATTAGAAGTCAACTAATGTAACTCCTCTTTTCAAGGGACGTGATAAAAATTGTTTCAGTAATTATAGACCCAATAGTCTTACATAAGTTGTGGGAAAAGTTTTGAAAAATCTGACAAAAGATGCTTTGCAAAGTCATTTAATAAAGTTTAGAATTTTATTGGATAGTCAACATGGTTTCACTAAGAGAAAATTTTGGCCTATAAATCTTTTGACATTCTTTGAAAAGGTTACTACTTATGTAGATGAGGATTAAAGTGTATTTGGATTTTCACAAAGCATTTGACAAAGTGCCATATAAACGGCTTGTAAAAATTATCTCTATTGGTGTGGGGGATAAGTTAGCAAATTGGATAGAAGACTGGCTGGCTAGAAGAAAGCAGAGGGTTGTTACAAATGGAGTTCAGTCAGACTGGATTAATGTCACAAGTGGGGTACATCAGAGCTCAGTCTTAAGACCTTTGCTCATTTTGATTTACATCAATAACATAGATGAAAGAAAGGTCAATTAATT